AATGAGCTTGTAGGCAGCCACCTGGTCCCCACTCAGCCTCCTCTTGCTGAGGCTGAACAGGTTCAGGTCCCTCCATCTCTCCTCGCAGGGCCTGCCCTGCTGCCCTCTCACCAAGCGGGTGGCCTCCTCTGACCCCTCTCCAGGCTGGCCACATCCCTCCTGAAGTGCGGCGCCCAGTGCTGGACGCAGTACTCCACCTGCGGCCTGAGCAAAGGCGCATAGAGGGGGAGGATCACCTCTCTGGACCGGCTTGAGACGCACCTTTGGATGCATGACAAGGTATGGCTGGCCTTGCTGGCTGCGGTCTGGCATGGGCGGCTCATGTCCATCTTGGAGTCAATAATGACTCCGAGATCCCATTCGTCCTCTGTGCTTTCAAGAAGGGAACTCCCCAGCCTGTATGTATGCTGTGGATTCCTTCTCCCAAGGTGCAGCACCCTGCATTTGTCTACGTCGGACCCCATCCTATTCTCGTCTGCCCACTTTTGTAGTCTGTCTAAATCTAGTTGCAGCCTCTCTCTCCCTTCCAGTGTGTCCACCTCACCCCACATCTTAGTGTCATCAGCAGACTCGGACAGCGTGCTTTCCACCCCCTCGTCCAAGTCACGGATGAAGATGTTAAACAGTGCGGGCCCAAGGACCGAGCCCTGGGGGTCCCCACTGCTCACATCTCGCCAGGTTGAGTACGACCCATCCACCACCACTCTCTGGGTGCGCCCCATCAGCCAAGTTTTTACCCATTCAACTGTGCAGGCATCAATGCCACAGTCACTTAATTTATTGATGAGGATGAGGTGAGAGACCGTGTCAAAGGCCTTCTTAAAGTCTAGAAAGACTGTGTCCACGGTGACACCATCATCCAGGGATTTAGTTACTTGGTCATAAAAGGCAATCAGGTTGGTCAGGCAGGACCTGCCTTTGCTGAACCCATGCTGATTGCCCCTGAGCATGATCTCCCCTGCAGGCCCCCCACAGATGTGCTCCTGGATGATCCTCTCCAAGAGCTTCCCGAGGACTGAGGTCTAGTAGGGACTCCCCAGCACTCCCCCCATGGTGCATAGCCCTGGCAGGCAGTGGCAGCAGCGTGCAGGCTGCTTGTGCCTGGGGCTTCCTTCCGGTGTGACCTATGCCCCCCCCGGGCTCCGTGTGTGCATGAGTAGTATATGCATGCACATGCCCACATGCATGTGTGCCTGCATGCTTGTGTGCTTATGTATAGATGAGTGCATGTGTGCGTATGCACGTGTGTTTCCATGTGTGCACTTGTGTACACGTCTGTGACCCAGACACAAGGGTTGTGTGTGTGGGTGCATTTGTATGTGCACATGTGTATCCTCATGTGTGTTCACATGGTGTGTGTGTCTGAGTGCATGTGCATTCATATCTGTATGTGTGTGTGAACGTGCATATGCGAGTATGCGTGTGTGCATGCATGTTTGCATGTGCATATTTGTGTGTGGGAGCATATCTACATGTGTATGCATGTGCATGTGCTTGTGTGCATGCAGGTGTGTTCATGTGAGCAAGTGTGTGCTTCTGTGTCTGTGCCCCAGACGCCTGGGGAGGTATGTGTGCGCATGTCTGTGTGCCCCCCCCCGGATCTGTGTGCAGGGTGAGGACGGGCTGTTGCTGCAGGCTTTGCCCCAGGTGCCAAACTTTGCTGTTACGGCACTGTGCGTGGGTGTGTGCGCACATGTGTCTGTGCGTGCAGGTACTCAACATTAACCCTATGCTAAATGAGGTTTCGTTATTACGTCGCCAGTCTCATTGGAGACCGTACTCCTTTAAAGTCGTGCAATGTTCATGTTACAACATTGTTTGGCCGCCACCGTTAGCAGGCAACTAATTGCGATGTAATTGGGTTTGCTTAAACTCACATTTTTCAAGAACTTAAGTACAAGGTTAAGCAAGGAGTAGCTGTACACGTGCATGTGTGCGGGTGTGTGCACGTCCCAGACTGCTGGGGGGGGGGGGGGGGAGATGCTTGCACAGCACTTCCTTACCTGGCGCGGCTGGGGCTGCACTGAGAAATGAGTCGGAGCTCTGTACATGTATATAGAGCTACTTACTTGGCAGAGGAAACACCATGACCACCAAGGCTGCTGGGGGGAACTGCTTTCCTGGCACGGGGCAGTGCCTGCCGAGGTCACGCAGCTAATCCCCCACACTCGTTTCCCATGGGAAGATCGGCTTTATGGAAACGGGAGACTCCTGCAGCGATACGGCTGGGGGTGAGCTAAGCTTGGGGGCAGCCGAGCCCCACGCCTGCGGGCTGGGGCCTGCACGAAGGATGCCCGCCGAAGGATTTGGAAGCAGCTGAAGCGCCGGGTGTGGGCGGAGGACACTTGCCGGTAGCAGGGCCACGTCCGGTTCCTGAATGGCTCGCAGGTCTGGCACCGGCTTGGCTTGCAACGCGAACAATGTTCCTTAAAAAGGAAGACAAA